AGTTTAATGCGTTTCAATACGTTTCCCCTACCCGTTTAGCGATGATTCCGTATAGCGAGGGTTAATCCGGAACGGATTAACCTCGCTATACGGGGCACCACTGTAATCCCTTCTAAGAGTAGATAACATAGGAGAATATATACAATATACTGTATAAGGAAAGTCCAAATTCAGACCTATAACAGTATTTTGTAATTCTAATTATTAATTATGTAGCTGTTAATATTTATCTAGTACTGTATTTAAAAGTAACTCTTCCTAGGTCGCAACTAACCTTTACCTGACTAAGGTAAAGGCTGCATGTAGATCATTCTTCGCTAACTGGATAAGCGAAGCGTCCAACCAGCAGGCGGAGTTATTCCGTATAGTGCGCGACCTATCTGGAACTGGTTCAGGTGATAGGCCTCCCCCTAGTTTTTCCCCTGACCAGTTTGCAGCCTTTTTTAAATCTAAAGTGGAGGCCATCTGCCGGGAGCTCTCTCCATTTTTAAAAACAGTGAGTCGAGCAGAGATGTCCAGCCAGATGTCCAGGAACTGAAGAAATCAATATGTTAAGAGACTAGCTGAATCCAAGAGAGAGAGAGAGAGAGAGAGAGAGAGAGGAGCACTGGGAAACTTGATGGTCACTAAATATATGATCACAAAATAGTTAGAATGGTAGGCTGATATACAATCATAGTATAGGAAGAGTTACTTTTAAATAGTAGATAAATATTAATAGCTACATAATTAATAATTAGAATTACAAAATATAGTCCTGAATTTGGATTTTCCTTATATATTGTATATATTTTAGTATGTTATCTGGAACTACTCTTAGAAGGGATTATTCAGAATTACTATGAAAATAATAATTTGTATTGTGTTTGTTCAAATCCACCCCCTCTAAATGTATCCTTGTCCCAGTTACCCCCTACCCTGCCCTATCCTTGTAAAGAAGAAAATAATATATATTTTTTTAAAAATGCTGCCCTTCCAGCAAAAATCAAGGGAATAAATTTGCACACACTTCTAACACAGAAAGTTGTAAATCCCATTGGGCCACACCTGATGCTCAAAATTCCCACTCATGCTTGACGTCACCTTTTTTTTTTGTTTAGCAAAGCCCATTAATCATCTATGTCCCAGAGGCACCTAATGATCTTTCAAAATTCTAATAGAAGCGGAAAGTCAAGGACAGCCCAAATTGATCTGCATCACCTATGCTATTAGGCCCATGTGCTGACAATGCTTCCTATATCCTATTCTGAGCTGCAGGCCATCTGGCTGCTGCAGGCTTGTTATTTTAACAATTTAAATAGCTTGAGTTATGGATTCCCAACAGACTGTGCACTTTTATACAAAGTACTGTAGTATGCAGCAGAGCTTCCCAATTTCTTGACATCATGTTCCCCTGGCTTTCCGTTACCATCCGTTCCAAATACCCTTTAACAATGATTCAACTGATAATTTAAAACTGAAACAAAACACAAAAAGTGAATTAAAAACATAGCTTAAAATTAAAAGTGTGTGTGTGTGTGTGTGTGTGTGTGTGTGTGTGTGTATGCATTTTTGGAGCAAAAATTAATATAAGACCCTGTCTTATTTTGGGGGAAACAGGCCTGTTTCCCCCAAAATAAGACAGGGTCTTATATTAATTTTTGCTCCAAAAATGCATACACACACACACACACACACACACACACACACACACACTTTTAATTTTAAGCTATGTTTTTAATTCACTTTTTGTGTTTTGTTTCAGTTTTAAATTATCAGTTGAATCATTGTTAAAGGGTATTTGGAACGGATGGTAACGGAAAGCCAGGGGAACATGATGTCAAGAAATTGGGAAGCTCTGCTGCATACTACAGTACTTTGTATAAAAGTGCACAGTCTGTTGGGAATCCATAACTCAAGCTATTTAAATTGTTAAAATAACAAGCCTGCAGCAGCCAGATGGCCTGCAGCTCAGAATAGGATATAGGAAGCATTGTCAGCACATGGGCCTAATAGCATAGGTGATGCAGATCAATTTGGGCTGTCCTTGACTTTCCGCTTCTATTAGAATTTTGAAAGATCATTAGGTGCCTCTGGGACATAGATGATTAATGGGCTTTGCTAAACAAAAAAAAAAGGTGACGTCAAGCATGAGTGGGAATTTTGAGCATCAGGTGTGGCCCAGTGGGATTTACAACTTTCTGTGTTAGAAGTGTGTGCAAATTTATTCCCTTGATTTTTGCTGGAAGGGCAGCATTTTTAAAAAAATATATATTATTTTCTTCTTTACAAGGATAGGGCAGGGTAGGGGGTAACTGGGACAAGGACACATTTAAAGGGGGTTGATTTGAACAAACACAATACAAATCATTATTTTCATAATAATTCTGAATAATCCCTTCTAAGAGTAGTTCTAGATAACATATGAGAATATATACAATATATAAGGAAAATCCAAATTCAGACCTATATTTTGTAATTCTAATTATTAATTATGTAGCTGTTTATATTTATCTAGTATTTAAAAGTAACTCTTCCTATACTATGATTGTATATCAGCCTACCATTCTAACTATATATCCAAGATTTACAGATATTGCTGTAAACAGATTTATGACATTACTATATTTGAGGTGAACATTTATAAAGCTATAGTGATATATGAAGATAGGTGAGAGTAGGCTGGAAGACTGAACAAGGGAGAAATGGTTTGCTGAAGAAGACGGGAGGAACACAGAGCATTAAAGCTTGTTAAAAAGAGATCTCAGCCTGATGAGCTGCTGAACTATTTATCTGTAAAGTTTCCCTTTAGTGTTTCTGTTACTAATGAACATTATTGAATAATACTAATCACTTTGAAGGTGCCTACACCCACTGTTATTCTATTCACCAGAACCTAATTAAAGCTTGCTGGAAGTTTATTTAAGGAAGATTACTTATCCATTTCGATTTGATTTTGTCCAAGAAAACTGCTTATGACCGGAGTGACACCTTGGATTATGAAAGAGAATAGATTGGGGTTTCATTTCCTTTCTTTTTGATTTTATTTCTTCTGTTGAGTGTGGTTGGGGGAGGGGTTGAAAAAAAAATTTAAATTTTGGGTTTCATTATTTTAATTTTCTTGTCGTTTTTGAAAATCTGTGATGACGCTGAAAGAGACTGCTCTTCCCTTTTTTATTATTTTTTTTCCTTAGGACTCTATATTCCACAAAACCTTATCTTATCTCCCTTCACTCAAGGTCTGGAAAGCTGCCCAGAATGCTGAATCTCCAGGCTTTGCCTCTTCTTTCTTTTTTTATCTCCTCAAACTTAGACATCTGAAGTGGAATAATATGGACTATATCTATTGTATTTAGGATACGTTCTCCTTGGAAAGTTTTTTTGATTGACTTTTTGTCTGACTTAGCACATGTTGGGAGATCTTTATCTGCTGATTGACTGATTTGTGACTTGGTTTGCTGGCTGTACTTTCATAGATAGATAGATACAGTGGGGTCTTGACTTAAGAACGGCTTGAGTTAAGAACATTTTGACTGAAGATCCGCTCTCATAGGAAAATATTGACTTGACTTACATACTTAGATTTGAGTTAAGAACTGAAAAAAAAACACGTGGGAGGCAGGGAAAGTGCAAAATTTGAACTTTCAGTTAACTGTTGGCCAGTGAAAAGGGTACCTGTCTGCTTCCTCACTCCTCCCAGCGTTTAGAGAGTGGATTGGGAGACAGTCTTCGGACTGCCTGGTACTGTCCTGCCTGGACTGTATTTTCCCTGCCTTCCCTGAACCTTTCTTGACCTAAGAAAAAAAGAAACAAAATATCCCCCTCCAGTGGTCGAAGGCGGAATAGCAGCTTCTCATTAGTTTCTATGGACGGAAAAGAGCAGATACGGATCAAATGGGTTTCAATGCATTCCTATGGGAAATGCAGATTTGAGCTGAGAACTTTTTGACTTGAGAACCGCCTTCCAATACGGATTAAGTTCTCAAGTCAAGACCCCACTGTAGGTAGATAGATAGAGAGATAGATAGATAGATAGATAGATAGACAGACAGACAGACAGACAGACAGACCCCTAATATACTAGATTACTTAGGCCCAGCCTTTCTTAAGCTGCTTTTGTCGTTTTCAGATCCGGATTTGGGGCCGTCCCCGAGCCATCGCAGAAGGCCAAGGCGACTATGCACTCAACATCACTGGGCCCATCCTCAGTTTCTTTGAGAGCCACTACAACACAAGTTATCCTCTGGAAAAGTCAGGTTGGTGTGATGTCGGGTGCAAAGCTGAAACAGGGTCAAGGAGCACTCACTGTTCAGGGGGAGGAGGGAGCTGAATCGGAACGCTCAAGCAAGGATCCCTGACCCACACGGTCGTCCCTTTCTGGCTCTGCCACCTAGACTATAGGCCATCCCTTTCCCCTTCAACTTCGACATTTTCAAAATCAGAGCTTAGAATGACATTTCAATTTCTTGTAGCTGAAAATATCACTATGATTAGAATGCACAGTTGAATTAAATACCATCACACACAAGCCCCGTAGCTTATCAGTGCCGATTAAAAATTCTGTGGGTCCAAAGGGATGCTTGGGGTTGTTTCTTAAAAGACCTTCTTGCTTTCAAGAAAGCTAACAGCTTCGTTACTCTAATAGGCCAGGGGTGGTTCTATCATCTGCTAATGGGACCTTGTCTCCTTAGACCAGGTGGCCCTCCCAGATTTCAATGCTGGAGCCATGGAGAACTGGGGGCTGGTGACGTATCGTGAGAATTCGTTGCTCTTTGACCCAAACTTCTCTTCCATTGGCAACAAGGAGCGGATAGTGACCGTCATCGCTCATGAACTTGCCCACCAGGTATGTACTCTTGTGTTTTGGGCTGGGGGTATCGCAGCTGCTCGGGAGCTATGCAAAAGGATTTTTTTTTGGCTGGCTGGCTCCCACAGGCCATCCTCTGGCAGCAGGTCCTCTCCTCCTAGGGTTGTATAGCATTTGTTCAGAGAGTTGGCTGGGCACTTGGCATGCTTCTCGTGGGTTCTTCAGGATGGTGGGTTTGTGGCTGACTAGCGTCCTGTCTCTCCCCAGTGGTTTGGGAACCTGGTGACTCTCCGTTGGTGGAACGATCTGTGGCTGAACGAGGGCTTTGCATCATACGTGGAATATCTTGGTGCCAATGCAGCCGAGCCCACGTGGAACATTGTAAGTCCTCTTTTCAAGGGGAGGGGGATGCAAGGCCCTGGGCAGGGTCTTCCGCTGCTTGAGTTCTGCTTGCCAAGATGAGATGGCAGCGGAGACAGGGAGAGCAGATGCCTGCCAGCTGGGGCTCTGAGGGGGTGTGCTGCCTGGGTTTCTGCCCTTCCCCAAAACCTTCTTCCCATTTCCCCTCAGAATCATAATCCCCATGTTTTGTGATAATCAAGCTGGCTTTTAAACATCCCTGCACTTGTGGCCCGTGAGGAGACTCTGCGGCATCTTCTTGGGTGCAGGGTTTCCCTTCTTCTTTGGTGGTAGACGAGTGGCTACTTGTGATGAAAAAGGCTTCCCTGTTGTGCAGGAAGTGCCCCGAAAGCATGATCAGAGCATGCTGCCCCAGGGGCTCTGAGATCCAGGGTGCCATCTTGATGAGGCTGGACCAAGAGGAGTGGCAGTCAAAGCCCTACAGAGATACAAGGCGATTCCTTTCTTTTAGCACAGTCTGCCTCATAGGGTTTTTGTGGGGATGGGAGGGGATTCCTCGCACGTATCCCCCCCTCCCCTTAGTTCTTTGGAGGGGAAGAAGCACAATGCAAAGAAGGCAGGCTTTTCAGTGTTGAGAAATTAATTTGCAGACAGACCTGATGGTAGCGAGTGAAATGTACCGGGTGATGGCCATTGATGCGCTGGTTTCCTCCCATCCTCTGTCCTTCGAAGAAGATGAAATCAAGAGCCCAGCACAAATCAGTGAAGTCTTTGATTCCATTGCCTATAGCAAGGTGAGGATATTCAGGGACGATGTGTGTGGTTCTTGACCCATCCTGTCCTTTACCCGAGCATGGTAATGCATTTATTTTAAACAATTCCATGCTGTCCTTCCTGTACATGGAACCACTGGCTGCTGGAAATCCAAATGACAACTGCAGCTGTTCTCCTAGTATTTCCCAGTCCTTACCATTTGGGCACCCCAGGTAATCACAGGCAGATTCTCTGTCAAGAAATGTTGGGGGAGATCACTGTAGAGCCTTAGGAGGCTCACAAACTCATGAAAATGTTGCTCTTTCCGAAAGATCCTTTGGGAAATCATTGAATGTAACACATGTGGGTCTGGGGGAGAGGATGGATGGAGGGAACCCTCTTTCCTCCCCCTTCACAGTCCCTCCCTTCTCTCTCTCATGCAGGGGGCATCCGTGTTGCGTATGCTCTCGGAATTCCTTACAGAGGACCGCTTTAAAAAAGGACTTCAGGTAAAGGCCTTGTCCCCACGGTGCCCCATGGGGTGGGTGTGCCTCCTCACTTAGTACTTCCCAGATTCTTTGCCATGGGTCATGTGGCCCAAGCCACGCCGTCACCTGAGGTGGGCAAGCAAAAGGTGGGAGGTGGGCAGAATGTCCTTCGTTTGTTGCCTTCCACCCCCCTCTGCAATTTGAGACAAGAAGCTGAGTGAAGGTGTGGCTACATCATCAAGCCAAATCTGTGTGATTCGGTTTCGCTGCAGCTTCATTCACAGTCCCTTTTACAGATGCATTCAGTTTCGTTGATCACATGAAGATCCCGGATTATTGTGGTGCCAGAATCCACAGTGGCCCTCAGTCCATGGCTCCCTTCCTTAGATGCCAGGGGGTGACTTTCCAGGAAACCAGCCACCCTTGGAAAGGCCGTCTCATTTAAATTTCTTTCCTCCACAGTCATACCTTCACACCTTTGCGTACGGAAATACCATCTACGATGACCTCTGGGTGCACCTGCAGAGGGTACGTTTTGGGGCAGAGTAGGAACCCTTTTAAAATGCCAGCCATCACCGACTCCAGCTCAAGGGACTGCTCTGGGTGGCCTTTGGTGACCAGGAGCCTCTTTCCACAGAAAAGGTTCCTTTGGTGGGAACGGTCCTCCCCCTCCATTTTGTCCTGGCTGGACTTGGCTTTGCACCAGGCAGTTGCATAGGCAGCTGTCCCTGCTAGGTCGTCCTGCTCCTCCCCTCCTGCCTCTGACTGACACCTTTATTGTTTCTTGTTCCGCCATCACTGGTAGCAGAGCAGATTGCTGTTCCCCTGACCCTTCTCTGGCCTTTCCAGAGGAAGACCGGGATAATCATTGCACAACGTTCACCCCAGACTTTCACCTGAGGAGAAGCTTCCTAGACCTTTGATCATCTTCATATCTTTTCTTAAAGATAGCTTAGTTGGCAGGGAAGTTTTCAGAGTTGTCAGGCCAGGAAGGGAACTTGGGACTTTATGTGCCATAGCTTTACCCCTGCCCAGATCTTGGCAGTCTGGCATCCGTGCCCCTGAAGGCCCCCCGGGGATGATGGGGGGGGAGGCTGGTGCTGGGCCAGAGCATTAAGGGGCTCTTGCCTTTCCATGTGACCTCCAAGAGAACCCGCTTAGGGTACAGTCTCTTCATTCATCATCCTTTTCTCTCAGTTTCTGGTTGAATCCTGGTGGAACAAAAAGAGCAAAAGAAATGGCCTTTTAAAAAATCCCATGCGTACTTCCCAGGGCAGGTGCTCAGTTCACTTTGACATTTTCTGCCAGTTTGCCATCTCCTCGGTGGCTGCTGTGCTGTCAGAAGGCTTTCAACAGTATGTCACTGACGCCCGGCATTGCCAGCCCAGCCCCTCTGCTCCCCTCCTGTGGGCTTTACCACCATTTATATTTCCTGCTTTATGAGGGTGCCAGCTTTACCTGAGAAGCATATTCCCCAGGGGTCCCCTCAGGTGTCCTGAAACTCTCCAGGGATTGGCTTCACCCACAGTTCCTCAACCGATCTCTCCAAGTGTTCCTTCCGTCTGATAGCTTCCGTTCTCCCAGCTCCACGGCCCCCACGAACGGATCCAAAGGTTCTCTCCTCCGATCCGTTCCCTCCCGCTGCCACTCCCTCCCAGATAATCTGTCCTGGGGGTGGTGGTGACAGTGCTTTGTTTTTCTGCTTGATTTAAATTTGGGGGCTGAATCCCTCCTTGAAGGTTGTGTGCTGGGAGCGGGCAGGGTGGAAATAAACAAGCGCAGTCACATCTGGAATGAACTGGGTGGCCCGTTCCCAAGGGGGAAAAAATAATAATCCTGAAGTAGAAGGGAAGTGGAAGGGGTCAGTTGGAGTCTCCAGTGACATCAAGTAGATCTGTTAAACGAATCCAAATCATCGGATGGCAGAACCACCTCTTTAACAGGAGCAAATGGGATTTATGGATGAGCCCTGGCTAGGCTACAAGAGAAGCAGAGGTCTGAACGGATTGCTTGCGGAGGCTTTTGAAATAAAGTCTGTTGGTTGCCCACTCTGGTCTACCTCTGTGTCTGGCAGTGCCGGGTGCCTTGGTTCCTTTAATTCTGCCTCCCCCGACTTGTATTGCCCCCTCCCCTTCTTCCCTTCAGATCTAGATGGCAGGCTCCTCCTGGCATAAAGGTAAAGGTAAAGGTTCCCCTTGACAATTTTTGTCCAGTCGCGTTCGACTCTAGGGGGCGGTGCTCATCCCCGTTTCCAAGCCATAGAGCCAGCGTTTTGTCCGAAGACAATCTTCCGTGGTCACATGGCCCGTGCAACTTAGACACAGAACGCTGTTACCTTCCCACCGAGGTGGTCCCTATTTATCTACTTGCATTTGCATGCTTTCGAACCACTAGGTTGGCGGGAGCCGGGACAAGCAACGGGCGCTCACTCCGTCGTGTGGATTCGATCTTACGACTGCTTGGTCTTCTGACCCTGCAGCACAGGCTTCTGCGGTTTAGCCTGCAGCGCCACCACGTCCCTCCTCCTGGCATAGGGGATCATATTTAGGTGTTCATGTGTCAGAGAGATGGCTTGAGTGTGTGCAGGATGGCTTTGTTCTTTGGATGTTGGCACACCTGGCAGGTGCAAGGACAGCACCTGGAACAAGGCAGTGTTGCTTTTGTTGCTGTGTCCAAATCCTGTGTTGCTCTGGCCCCTTTCCTTCCTGGTAGGTCTGTGCCCCCAAGTAAAGGAGGAACTCTGTTCAGTGGCTCAGGCAACAAGGAGCTGAGAGTTGGGGGGCCAGTGGGCATAGCAGGCACTGGCAGGGCCTCCAGGCTGCCTGATATAGAGGATGTGGGGCAGCCAGAATTAGTGGGGTGGGGGCGGGGGGGAAGAGTGGGATGCTTATCTGGAGTCAAGAGCTGTTGCCATCACCCATGACATGCTTCCAGCCCATATTTCTTGAGTTTCCTTTGGAGTTCCTGGTAGAAAGAGACCTTTGTCCCCATCAAAGTCAAACCAAATTACATCTAGTGCAACCCCTCCCCCATCTATAAACACCGTTATTTTACCAAGGATGGTTTAGCTTGTTGTAAGGCAGCCTCTTCTATTCTTGACGCAGAAACTAGAGTGGGCTATTTCCAAGCTGTCTAAGGAAGTCCATCAATAAGGTTAGAGGCCAAATATTCCAGTGAGACTGGCAGGCCTAGCCTTATCAATATGCCTTGAAGCCAGTAGAGAGTTCAGGAAATGATTGGATACATTCAATATATGGCTGCCAAAACCCTCTTTTTGCTTCCTTTGCTGGATAGGCAGTAGATGAGGATAAGTTTGTTCTCCCCGGCACTATCAAGGAGATCATGGACACCTGGACCTTACAGATGGGCTTCCCAGTGGTGACCGTGGATACCACAACTGGGCATATCTCCCAGCAGCATTTCCTACTGGACCCTACATCTATTGTTGAGCGCCCCTCTGCATTCAAGTAAGTGGGGAGCCTTGGCCCATAGAATCCATGAAGATACCAAATCTGGACTCCGTTCCAGAGCGCACACTTGGTTCTATGGAGAAATTATCTGGAGAAAAAAAGAGAGTTTAGATGGAGCCATGTACCCATTTGCAGCTTCTGCTGTGTAGTTGCCCACTCCCTCTTCTACTCCCTGAAACCCTGCCCAGCAAGCTGGTGGTATAGTCTTCTGGGAATTATAGTCCAAGAACACCTGGGTTATCCAAAGTGGGAACCATTACAATAAAATGATGAGGATAAAGGAGGCCCAAGACCCACTTGATGTCTCATTTTTCTGCAGTTACACCTGGATTATCCCTATTTCCTGGATGACTTCAGATACTCCAAGAAACATGTACTGGCTCACAGTCAAAGAAGGTACAGTTCAGTTGTGTCATCCTAATATTTTATCTTGTCCCAGGAAGCTGCAGAGCGAGGATATTGCAATAATGTCTTAGATTTGACTTTTCAGGGCCCAGATTACTTGCCCTCAGTGTGGCTAAGAGCCAGAGCCATCACTAGGGTGAGGCAACCGAGGCTTTGATCCAAATTGCTGAAGTTTAGTGAGCATAAAAATTTGCTGCTCGGAGGACATGCACTCACCTGCTGGTATTTGCTGCTTAAGAGCCATAAACCCAACCATGCCACATGCATATATGACCCCCAGCTGCTGCTCCTCCTCAAGTGGAAGGAAACAAAAACAGGAAGGTGTGTAATGAGACTAGTATGGCTGTTGTACATTTAGATCCAGGTGTTCCTTCCCGTTCCGCTCCCTTCTCCCCTACCTTGACAATCTCACATTACTCAGAGATGTGAAGCCTCAGGTGTCTAGTTATAGCTCTGGTAAACAGGTATTTGGGGATACGATCCCTTTGATTCCAGCTGGGCAGAGAAATATATAGGGTCCTTGCTGTCTAGGCTGGGTGGAAAGAGGCAGCTCTCCCATGCGCCAAGATGGAAGCTCCTCGGTGTCTTGCAGATTGCCCCACCTCATGTTCCCTGGTTCTCTGACTGGGAGTGGCCCCTGGGGGTGGCACCAGTCCAGCTATTTGGCCATCTCCCCAGTGTTCATTGCAGCTCTGCTTGGCATTGGGCTGGGGGACCTCCTCCCCAAGCAGCTTAGGAGGGAAAGAGGAGAGAAAAGTCCACCCTGGGGTTGCTGCCTCTTGATGGCAAGACAGAAGGTCCCTGCTCTTTCTCCTTGCAGCTGAAAACGACACCTTTGCCACGGCTGCTACACCAGACAAGTGGCTGTTACTCAACATTGATGTCACTGGCTATTTCCGGGTGAACTACGACTTGGAAAATTGGAACCGGCTTATGGAGCAGCTGCTGACCAGACACGAGGTAGACTTAAAGGCTCTTCCCCAAATCTTCTTTCACTTGTCTGCCTAGAGGTTGTTCCACTCAATGGAACCGCACCTGCAACAGCTGGTCTCTAGATGGGAAGGAGATGACCAGAATTATGTGGCTGGAGGTCAGCAAGTGGGCTGCAGGGTTGCATATCCACGGGGTCTTTACGAGTTTCACGTCTTGCTCTCTCAGTCCCTGCACGTGCTGCTCTGCAAATGGCCACTTTTTCAGGCTCCCCGACCCCAGTGTTTCTGCCTGTCCCTGTTGCATCCTGGCCTTCCTTGGCTGCTTTCCCTGGCCTCCCACCTCCTCTGTGCTTTTTAGACTGATGGAGCTGCCCTGGGGCATCCCTTTCCCACCCCATCTGCTGCTGATCTCTTCCTTTTGGCTTCTTGAAACAGTTTCAGAGGCCGGGGGCCCTGGGGCAGGGACTGGGCCACAGTTCTGATATAGCCGGAAATGTCAACTGTACTCAAAACCAGTGGAAGAACCCGGGCGTATGAGCTAGATGAAGCTCCTCCATGACTGGACTGGATTCGGGCAGCCGGTTGCCTTCACCCAATTGAGCTTTGCTCTCAGAGGCCCCTTCTCCTTCTAGCTCCCTCCCACCCACCTGCTCTTGCCTGCTGCTTTCGTGGTCAACCTGCTTAGTAACTCCTGGTCTTTTCCAGGATATTCCACTTCTGAACCGGGCTCAGATGATTGATGATGCCTTCAACCTGGCCAGGTGAGCAAATAGTTCCTTCCCTGCACGCCTTCCTCTGGGAATCGTAGCCCGATTGCACCCACTCTTCTGCGTTTTGCTCCACCCCATCCATCAGTTTGCTTCTTTTTTGCCAGTCTTAGCCAAGGTAAAAAAGGTAAAGGTTCCCCTTGACATTTAGTCCCGTCGTGTCCGACTCTAGTGCGTGGTGCTCATCCCTGTTTCCAAGCTGTAGAGCCAGCGTTGGTCCGAAGACTGTTTCCGTGGTCACGTGGCCTAGACACAGAATGCTGTTACCTGCCCACCAAGGTGGTACCTGTTTATCTACTTGCATTTGCATGCTTTTGACCGGCTAGGTTGGCAGGAACTGGGAGAAGTGATGGGAGCTCACTCCGTCACGTGGATTTGATTTTACAATGGCTGGTCTTCTGTCCTTGCAGCCCAGAGGTTTTCAGTTTAACCCCCAGCGCCACCACGTCCCTTTGAAAGAAGTAACAGTCTTAGCCAAACCTGTGTCCAAATGCCCTCTGGTGGGAAATGAAAATACTGCAGGGCATCTGAACTTGCTGAACATAATCCAACCCTGGAGAAGCCCCTTTGTTCCTCTCCGTGTCAGATTTGGGGCAGAATTAGGTCTGGGGCATGACTCGGCCCATCAGAGATTCCTGCATATCCCATGTGAAATGTACAGCATATGGTTTTCTCCAAGACAGCAACTGAGGTTGTGGAAAGAAGAAATAGGGAATGAGGAGGGCCAGAGAGGAAGCCCCCTCCCCCTGCGAAACCCTAACCCCTCCTTGTCCCTGAAATCCCTATAAGGGTCTGTTTGGCTCCTGAGCAGGGAGGCCAAGAGAGATGGCTGGCGCACGTGCTTAGGAGCCATCTCTGTGGCCCGGCTGCTTCACTGGTGCTCAGACACTGAAAACAGGCCCCAGCCTTCATCAAGGGCAGGGAGGGGAAGTCCCGCCGACAGGTCTTGGCTGCGGCACTGGGAAGGGAAGAGGGAGAGGGGGTGGCAGCCGGCCTCCGACTCGCCCGCCCCGTTGAACTGTCTCCTCTGTTTTCCCTTTCCAGAGCCAAGCACGTCAGCACAGTGTTGGCCCTGGACACGACACGCTACCTGGCCAACGAGACGGAGTACTTGCCCTGGAGTGCTGCCGTCAGCAACCTGGGCTACTTCCGGCTCATGTTCGATCGCTCCGAAGTCTATGGGCCC